AAAAAAAATTTACTTTTTATTTTTATTTTCAATTTTCTGTTTTTTTTCTGCACCACAACCCCTCCCATGGCAAAAACACCCTCCCCTAAAAAAAAAAAAATTTCTTTGCTTTTTTGTATTTCAAAAAAAAATTTACGTTTTTTTTTATTTTATTATTTTCTATTTTCTATTTTTTTGTTTTTCTGCATCACTCATCCCCTAGTTCCCCACCTCACCCCCAAAATTTTTTCGACTTACATATTTTAGGGTAAATTTTTTTTTTTTATGCAAGATAAGTATGATTTTAAAACATGTGTCAAGTTAGGTGGGTTGGATTATGATCCATTGTTTAACCCGTCTTGACCCAGCCTATCTTAGCCCAAATACACTTTCGACTGAGTTGGTCAATGACCCATTTATTAACCTAACCCATCTTGACCCGCCCAAATTCAGCCCAACCCGCCCATTTGTCACCACTAGTACCTACCTGTATTCAACCTCAAACTCCATTTCGAGACTTCAGGTTCGTCCAAGGAAAAAACCCTAACAACGCCTAACCGCCCTTCCAATTTTTTTTTTAAAAGGTAAGTCTTTAACTAATATGTTGGTATTTTGGATTCCCGCTGATTTCTACCTCTTTTTTAATTTTTTTGAGGAATATATCTGCATTTTGAATATTGCGGATTCCCGGACTCCATATTTTCTTGTATTGCTTTCTTTTCCTCAGTTTAATCTGAAAGTTTTCCCCTTTTGTTCTTCTCAAAATCTGAATTGCATGCTGTTGCTTTTGTGTAGTAATATTTACTGCTTTGTGGTGTAAATTAGTGGTGTCGAGTTCGCATTATGTTTCAGATTTTATGGTTTTGAGTTTTTGCTCAGAAACACAAAGGAACGAGGATACTTTTAGTAGTACATAGTTGTTGAAATGTCGTGAATCTTCTGAAACCTAAGTATAACAGTCACTTTTCCAGATAAAACGCATGGTTAGGTGTACTGAGAGCATAAAGTGTTTCACAAAACTGAATTTAAGTTTCTAAAAAAAACGAATCTACTGAAGACGTTTTGTTAGTGTTTTACTTATCAAAAACCTATCAAAGATAAATGCACTAAATAGTTGGTTATTCCGACAACATTATGGCTCCCCAATAGTTGGATAATAATCTAATGTTTCTGGCAAATGCTTTAGAAGTCCTTGTGACTCTTGGATAGTTGGATATAATGGACAAGAAGGGTCATGATGCACTTGGTGGACAGAGATACCTGGTACTTATTGCTGGTGGGAGGTAGCAGATATCCCATGGAATTAGTCGAGGTGCAAGCAAGCTGACCCGAATACCACGGTTATAAGAAAAAGGGTCATGATGCAATTTTTCGTTCTCCAGGATAGTTCAACACGATCTTCATCTCCTTTCCAAAACTCTATGTCTTCCAATGCATGAAACACAACAAGTGACTTTTCCATTTTTAGAAATTCTTTATACAAAAGTTGAATTACTGCTCCTTCATCTTGAAAGCAATTTATCTGGTATGTGGCTGATACAGCTTGAGGAACTGGCAGATTGTGTCATCGGCACAATACTCGTAGTCACACTGCTTAGAGTATAACTCAACCCACTTAAATTTTTCTCCCCATATACGTATCCTGTCAGGTTTCAAGAGTATATCTCACCCTCTATAATATGACCCGTGAATCCGAGGGGTTGATGGATAGATACTGGTTGGTGTTGAAAAAGGCGAAGGTTAATGTACCATTTATCACCAGCAATGTCCAAATAGCAACCAAGCATGTTAGGTTCATGATAAGGCTCAATCATGTTTAAAATTTCACTCCTTTGCGAGCTACCTTAAAGATAAGAATCTTTGGCTTCTTTACTTAGCAGAAATAAATTGGGACCCAAGAAATGTCAAATTGTTTTTTCCATCTTTTATATGATACTGACTTGGTTCTTCTTTATTCGTTGAGCGACACAGATATTTCGGCACAATATTAATCCATTTCTTTGGACTTCAGATGTGTGAGAGAAGATCAATCTGCTGTCACAGGCAAAATGTGTTATCTATATAATGGAAGTGCAAGACGTGGATTCCGGTGAGGAACTACAGTTTAGCATGATTGAACTTGTTTGACTTGACTGAGCAAAGCAATGAATCTGATCATGCTCCGAGATTGTTTAGAAGAAGCAATTTGGATAAGTCATGACATCAGCTGATTGATTCTGATGGACTTCCATTTGTGGCGCAGGTAACAGGATGTCTTTCTTTTCCTTTTCCACTTTTTGGTGGGTTAAGTTGCACCTGAACTAACATGATCATTTGATTACAAGAGGATAAATCCAAATGAGCCATATTGTAGCATTTACAATGAAATAACCAGTCAGACAACTAATACGAAGTTGAAAGGTTCAGAACCTCCTGCTGTTGATTATGTCGTTGTCGTTGTCGTGAAAATCAAAACACTTCTACAGAAGGTGATTGATTCCAGGATATATTCGACTTTGAGAAGATACATGTGTGTTGTTACTTCTCAGGGTTTCTAATCCACTTTGCTTTGTTTATGTGCTCTTAACTTTTCTGCATTTTCCATCTTTATAATTGTAATTGGGGCTAAAATCCAGTATCTTCAAGTGTATTATATAGATTTTCACCTGGTTAGTAGAGGGAAGGAGAAGCATGGGAAGGGTACTTAAGTTACTTTCCTAGTTCCTTTGCTGTAATTCAAAATGGCAAGTTTTTAATACCTATGCTTGAGAATGGATTTGGGAGTTATTAGTCGGAATCAAGTGGATGTCTGAACAACATCTCTTAGTTGTTGGTAGACAACTTAGCTAACAACTGTTAAGGAGAGTGACTGATTAAACTATCTTCCTCAACTCTGTGATAACCTCAGGGTCGAAATATCCCTAAATTTGATTGAGAACCTACTTTTGACTTTTAGGTGGTTCATTGACTTCATTTCTTCCCCTGCTTCCGCTCCGACCCCACCCCTCAAATTTATGCCTTCTCAATCTTGCTTTGCAATATTTTACTGGATGTCAGCTGGATATCAATTATGAGAATCAGGAGAACATATGGGGCAAACCATTTAGAACTGATGGAAGTAAAAGTTAGCCAGCTCTAGATTTTTTCTCTTTTTTACATATCCTCAATCCATATTAATCTCTTCAGATATAGATTTGGAAACTGAAATTGACGTGTCTCTTGTTACAGGTCCGGTCCCATCAAGGGGAGAAAGCGTGGAGGAGGTAGCTGAATTTTGGAGAAATGAAACGAGACTCACTCCTTGCTCATGGAGCAGCATATTTATTGCATTGATAGACTCCATATGAGCTCTGGTCATCGCATTGCAGATGTGTTTTCTGAATGTGGAGCATCACTCATCCGACTACCAAAATAAGCTGTGCAGTAAATTGTTGGTCTGCCACCTGCTAGAGAACCCAAAGAGGTAACTTGTCGTGCTTGCCAGATAAGTTAGGAAATTGGAGGCTGTTGAAATGTCTTACATGTTCAGATATCTAGTGGTTAAACTGGAAGCCATGAACATCAAGATGACCCTTACACTAAGTAACAGCGCTGGTGCTTGATATGTGTTTCAGGAAGTTGATATGATCTGTCCAATAGCAACTAGGAGCTTGACATCCATTTCTTCCTATGACTGTACTCTTCCACTGTGCAAATGCCCAAGAAAGGTTTTGCAGCATCGGATAACTTGATTCTGGCAATGGTTGATTGAGTTTAGACATCAAAAGGCTACCAAGATAAAAAGTGTGCTGCATATAAGACATGGTTCTTGTCATCACTATAGTGCAGTGTGGGGGCAAAATATAGAGGCAGATCCAGGATTTGAATTTGATGGGTTCAACATTTTAAAGTTCTTACCGATGAACCCGTTGCACTTTTAAATTTATGGGTTCAGAGTTTAATACTTGTTGGCAATGTAATAATTTTCACAAGCACATCTCTACTCTTGCGTAACAAATGATCGGTTCAGTTGAACCCATCAAATATATAGTGCATCCGCCTCGGGCAAATTTTGGAGAATCTCATTTTTAAGGATCCTGAGTTGTACAAAAGTTCTCTTGTCTGACTCCAGAGGTGCAAAATATAGAACCATTTTTCTTTTGTAGAACAAACTATAGAATATGTGCTTTATGTTATAAAATAAAGATTGTAAAGTAAAGACAAGTATAGAGAGAAACTGTTATATTATTAGAATTTAAACTGATGTACATAATGAACTGAAATTTCTTCTATTTATAGAAGAAAGGAAGCTGCTGTGTAAGCTGCTACTATACCAGATATGGATAATCTTCTACTGAGAGCAATGTTTATCCATAACGGAGTACTGAAAGGATAAACTTATTATACCCGATATGGATAATCTTCTACCGGGGGCAATGTTTATCCATAACGGAGTACTGAAAGGATAAACTTATTATACCCGATATGGATAATCTTCTACCCGGGGTAATGTTTATCCATAACTGGGTACTGAAAGGATAAGTTTATTATACCCGGTATGGATAATCTTCTACCGGGGGTAATGTTTATCCATAACCGGGTACCGAAGTGGTAAGCTTCTTCAGGAAGCTTATTTCCAATAGAGTACTAAATAGATAAACATATTTACGGTGGAGTCCCATATGGATAAGCTTCTTCAGGAAGCTTATTTACAACGGAGTACTAAATGAACATCCATAATATAATATATTTATAACACTTTACACTTGGTTAATTATAGCTTTTTGTACATTGTGGGAACTCGATATATAAAGATGTTATCATTTTGAGGCTGTCTTGCAGTCAATATTTTTTTTCTATTTATCTCAGTGTACTTATTTTGTCACTTTTCAAATTAAATTAATTTGTGTCACAGGGTAGCATTTTTCCCTTCCATGCATCTGGTCATCAGTTCTATTATTTTCTTTGATTTGTTATATTACATTAGGAGCCTTATAATTTTTATATATTTGTTATTGTTAATCACAACTCAATGCAGACCAGTCTGCTTTGACCCTGATTGATATGTTTATCTCACACATGTTAGATTAGTAAAGGTACACAAACAACATGCGCCAACCAAACGTGATATAAAATAATACTGAATTTTATACCGTTTATTTTCTAACCTCAGTAACCAAAAGAAAAGATAATTTTCTTTCTTTAAGAGTAGTAGTTTTATCCAAATTATATTTTATTCAAATTTTGCCTCTTGCTATATTCTGGGAATTGGAGCTAAGAGAAGAAATTCACCACAATGCTGTTAAAAGACACTGATTATTTATAAAAGGCAGACTCAAATTTCATGACCAGAAAAATTCAAACAAAATTCAGCTTTTTATAAGTTTTACATGTACAGTAGCAGGTTTACCCCACTAAAGCTTTTCATTTGCTCTAACAAAAAAAAAAACTAAAGAAGAGGCTAGCAGAATCCTCCCTATTTTGTTGCTCTTATTTAACAAACATATAAAAATGTGATACATGCATACAGTGTTGAAGACAAGTATCTGCACTCTTCTGCAGATGAATCTGCACACCCCCTAAATTAGGGACATGACATGGAAAATTGGGGGCAAAGGCTATATACTACAAATTCACAAGCAGGCTACAAATTTGAAATCTGAACCTAATAGGAGACACCCAAATACACTTTAGTATCTATCAAGTGCAAGAGTTAAATTACAATTGGGCTAAACATCCTATTCACATGCAGCTAGCTAACAAGATGGGGGTTGAAGTTGCTTCAACCGTCTTACTACTTGCTTCATTGTAGGTCTAGTTGAAAGAGAGTCAACTGTGCAGACCACGGCCAAATGTAGTACCTCAACCAAATCATCATGTGGACCTGAATCCCATAGACCAGCAGTAAAGAACTCCTTTGCACGCCCCTGGCGTAAAAGCATGCACGCCCAAGCAACAATATTGAATCCATTTCCATAAGAAGAGAAAGATGGATCAAGTGCTTTCTTGTCTGAAATTAACTCAAGTAACACAACCCCATAACTGTAGACATCAGCCTTGTCCGAGACACGACAAGTCATGGCATATTCAGGAGCAACATACCCGAAAGTTCCAGCCACACCAGTAGTGGCATGGGTCTCTGAAGTTCCCAGTAATCTAGCCAAACCAAAATCAGATAAATATGCAGTATAGTCCTCATCCAATAGGATGTTGCTTGGTTTTACATCACGATGAAGCACACGCGGTACACACTGATCATGCAGGTAAGCAAGTGCACGGGCAATGTCCAAAGCAATCTTGTGAAGTACCCTCCAATCCACAGCCCTCGTTGACCTGTCCTGAATAAACTTTTCCAAATTACCCCCTGGCAAGTAGTTATAGATTAGAAACATTTCTGTTTCACTATTATGATATCCAATCAGAGTTACGAGGTTTGGATGTCGAAGCCTCCCCAATGTTCTGATTTCTGCATCAAACTGTTGGATCCCTTGAAAACGTCCTACAGCAAGTCGCTTTACTGCCACTAGGAACCCTGGTGCAATCTCAGCTTTGTATGTTGCTCCGAAACCTCCACTGCCTATGCAATTGCTCGCATTGAAGCTCCCTGTGGCCCGCACAACATTCTCAAACGTCAAAGGAACCGGAACTTCTGTAAAAACTGTTACCTCTTTCCTGGTAGATCCTGCAACTCTAGATCTTGGATTCCATTTTCTGGTGTAAAAGAAGAGGACTATCAAAGCAAGAAGAACTGACACAATAGCTGCAGCAGATGTTATGGATGCTATCTCAATTGAGTTGAAACCACCACCATTTCCTCCTTTTTGGGCTGGAGTTGACGGAGGAGACGCAGCAAAATCTTGTGAGTCCCCTATTCTCCCCTGCTGATCTGTAGAAGGTGTTGATAGAGAAAATACATGGCAAGATTGCAGAAACGGGTTGCCCTGAACACTATTGCATTTCATCAAATCTCTATTAAGAGGTAGTGGCCCAGACAGATTATTGAAAGACACATTAAACGCTGCCAGTGTTGTCACATTGGCCAAGCCTGAAGGTATTTTCCCTGATAAATTATTATTGTTAAGAAGAAGCGCAGTCAAATTCCTCAAATTCACAAGATTGTTTGGAATTTCACCAGACAATGAATTAGAAGAAAGTTCAAGCTCTTGTAAAGAGTGCAATTGCCCAAAACTTGAGGGGATGGAGCCAACCAAATTATTGCCAGCCAAAGAGAGGTAACTGAGATCCTTTATCTGGCCAAGACTGCTTGGAATCTGGCCTTGCAAGAGGTTCCAACTTAAATTGAGAGCGACCAAAGAAACCAGACTCCCTAAACTCGGAGGAATTGTCCCACCAATCTGGTTTTTGGAGCCATCCAACAGCTTAAGAGACCCACAAATTGCACCAAGATCCTCTGGAATTTGGCCAGACAATGCATTATTGCTTACATTAAAAATCATACCTTTCAATTCATGACATTTCTCGAACAAGTTACCAGGAAAAGATCCAGTAAACCTGTTACCACCAGCAAGAAATGCATAAACAGTTTGCTTGCCTAACATTTCAGGCGCAATGAGCACAGAAGGAGGTAAATTTCCTGTGAAGTTGTTACCACCGAAATTATGAAATACTGCACGGCCAGCATCATCTCCAAATAACAAAGTGGTGTCTAGTACACTTCTACTGGTGAAGTGCGCTAGATATGCAGATGATGGATCTCTACCGCTGGACGCAACATGAGCACAACTGTAATTGGAAAACCTGGGAAGTGAACCAGAAAGATAATTCTCACTCACATCGAACACAGACATACAAGGAACTGGTAGTTTCTCAACAAGCTGTCCAGTCAACCTATTTGAGCTCAAGTCAAGAAAATGCAGCTTCTGGCAGCTACCCAATTCCTCAGAGATCTCTCCAGTATAAAAATTTTGAGCCAAATTCACCATCTCTAAACTGTCACAAGCACCCCAACTACCAGGAATTTTTCCAGAAAGAGTTGACCTAGGAGCCCAAATCATCCTCAAACTAGGAAGCCCGGTTATCTGTGACGGGATTGTGCCTTCAAAGAAGTTGTACTCATCAGTAGTGAATGCCAATTTTGCAGAAGCGTCAATTGCTGAATCAGACACATTTGGAAGAGGATCCCACAAATTTGACAGCACGAGAATGGATAATTTCGAGCAGTTTCCTATCTCAGACGGTATTGGTCCACTTAGGCTGTTCCTGGACACGTCAAGAACCTTGAGCTCAGTTAGTCGACCAAGTTCAGCTGGAATACCCTCTTCCAACAAATTTGAATACAAGAGAAGTGACTGTAATCCTCTGCAGTTCCCTAAACTTTTAGGAATACCCTCACTTAAGAAATTACCTGCCATCTCTAGATTCTCAAGCTTCTCACACGAACGTCCAATCTCACCAGGAATGGACCCGCTAAGCTGATTAAACGACAGGTACACTCCCCTCAAATCTCCAAATCCACCAATGAGTGCTGGAATGGAACCGTTTACTCTATTTCCAGCAAGATTCAGGATTTGCAGAGCAGCACAATTTGACAAGGAATCCGGAATGCCACCCACAATCTCATTAAAACCCAAGTTCAGAACCCTCAATTTCCTCAACCCCTTAAACTTAAATGGCAAAGAGCCTTTAATTAAATTCCCTTCCAGATCCAAAACTTCAAGATTCTCCATATCCCAAATTCCCAAGGGGATTTCACCACCCAATTCATTAAAAGGCAAAGACAAAACCTTCAGTTCAGTCAATCTTGATATAGCCTTAGGCACTTTACCAACAAGCTTAACACTATTATTAGCACAAACCCTTCTAATACCAAAGCCATACAAAGGAAATTGAGCAATTTTAGCACAAGACAAAGAACCCAAATTACCTCCACTGATGTTCAAAGCTACAACACGTGAATTGGAATCACATGAAACACCAAACCATGAACAGTGATCATCAGTATTGTTCAAGCTCCAGATAGAAATCACTCCAGAAGGGTCTAAAAGTGAAGTCTTTAACTCCAAGAGAGCTGATTTATCTGAATCTGAGGAGTCTGCATACACATGAGCTAAGAAAAAAGC